GAATATAGTACAAGGTACAAGAAATTATTGGGATGCCCCTGATTAGTGATGGGACACCCAGATGACTTAAATCATTAAACAGGATTAGGCCCATTAACACAAGCCCAGTTACAAGATAAGTTAAACATAAGAATGGGCTAATAAGAACTCTTATCAGTCGAACATCACTCTAACATTCTAACACCAAATAATAAAACTATTAATTTCAATAACCTTGCATGATATTGTGTGCAATCAGGGACAGAGGAGTCACACTTAGGATGACTGTTAAGACTTCCATACCTGATATTTGAAGCTTGACCTGTTAGAATTCAAAAATTGTTCTTGTAGTATAAGATCCTTATCTAACAACTATTACTTTTTAAAATAACAAAGCACTAGTATTTCAAAACATCAACCTCCAATAAAGAAGAGTAATACAAAATATAGCAAAAGTTAATATAGACATTATGGAAAAAATGGCCATGGAAGATTAGGAGCATCATAAAGGAATTGAAGTGTATGACTAGAGAATTGCAAACAATCTTCAGGTGGGTGTATAGATCAGCTAATTACTTGGATGACTCATTGGTAAAACAAGGGGCAAGTCTTCTGGGGTCAAATCTAATGTAATGACCAAAAAAATGAGTTGGGGGCAAACTGCCAGCCTAAATTGAGGGTTTTGATTGGCTGTTTACTGTATATAACTCATTCTTTACTCATTTAATTCAATAAAACCTTCAACATTGCTAATAAAAAAATTATGACCTAAAATTCAATTAAGCTTATAAACAGAACTTAACTACACACATAAATGCATATGTAATTAACAACAACAATATGGTAGATGCTACCTAATAGAACACTGAATTCCCCAAACTGAACCAAACTTTGTGCAGCTAAGCTTGAGCCGTAAACTTCAGGCTCAGCTAATTCAAGTTTACGATGATTTCAGATTTGGTTCTCAAAAATCTGTTAGGCTTAAGCTTAGTTTATCTTAATCAAGTCCAGTTCCAATAGCAGTTCATTAATTCCTGAAACTTGCATGACTGTAGGTTCCTATATGGAAAGGCCCCAGTCCACAGTAGTTAAAAAAGAAACCTGATAACAACATTAAATCATTTAAATTCATTGTAATCAATTAAATAATTGTATGGATTACAATCATTTAAATTCATGGAGATGGGCCTATATAGCTATTATTTTCATTTGTGCATGTTTAAATTATATCAATATATTGAACACTATTAAACCTAGATTTGTTTCTCTGATGTTTGTTCAAGACACACCTGTTACCCTATTAATACTCATTGCATTCTTCATAAAATACTGAGGCGAAATTTCTTTGGGTTCCTACCATTTGATAGTTTTGATATTGAAATTTCTCTAAAACATCCAATACAAGCACCAACCATCCAATACAAAAAGATTAACCATTATCAATCGCATTCTCTAAAACATCCAATACAAGCACCAACCATCAACCTTTTATATTTCACAAGACATTCTTAAGCGTGTTTTCTAGGAAGCAAATATCAAATTTCAAACCCAAGAAGCAAAATCTTGAATTCCACCAAAGTTGACTCTAAATTGTGAGAACTTGCAATTAATTGTATAACCTCCCCTTTGGATGCTCAACTCAAGTCAACCCTGCCAAACCTTAGGCTTCCTCAACTACCTACCAAGAAAGGTCCAAAAGTCCACTTTCAAGAAAAATCCCAATCCTTAAAAAAGTGTAAGTTTTGTAGAAAATTTCTCCAAGGTGCATAACTTTTCAGTTTGGGGAAAGCATTAAGGATGGTTAAACCTTTTATATATAACTCTATAAAATGTTAAAAACATATTAAAAACTAAAATATTAACGAGTATGGAAGTCTTACATATTAAACTACTCATTAATAATGACCAATAATAGGATATATCAAAATAAAAAATAATATCCATAAAATTGTGGTATTGTTCAAAATAGCTCTCATCTCTACACAATTCAGTAATATTCTAATGTAAATCCTCAGCTCTGTTATTAATTTTTCTATGATGCATCCCAAATTATTAACATATGGAACATTTTAGCAGAAAATAACACATATATATTGTTGAATTGAAACTATGTAACCCTGGGGATCTCTTTGATAGATATTTGCATACAAACTTAAAAGGGGAATTTTATGGAAAATATTGACAAATTTGAAGGAAATTGCAAATCAAGCCATCAGACCATCAAAAGTAAGTTTTTAATCAATTTTCTTGAGGGTTCATCATGGTGGTAGTGCTGTGTGGCCTAAAAGTTGCTTCTACCTTATTACCAAAATTTTCCCACTCCAAAATGTATTAATGCCAAGTGAATTCTTGGAAACTAATTCACATGAACTAATGAGATGCTAAGTGTTGAAAATTGAACCATATTACCGATAAAGTGACAGTGCAATTTCAAGGAGAACCCATGTATACCTCCAGAGGGGAAATCACTTACAAAGTTGTCCACTTTTTTTTTTTTTAATGTTTCCCATACAGGTATACAGATTCAGGAATCCAGTCCACTAAAAATACAGTTTCCACTTCAGTTGCTAAAGGGCATAATCATATATTTTATTTTCTGAAGATACATATGACATGTCCACACATTTTTGCATACCATACTAACACAAGTTAGCCTGTGGGAGAGGACTGAAACAACAAAATAATACTATCAACAAAATTAGATTGATAGAAATGGATCTCAAAGATGTGCCCACACAATCACATTCAGACAGCCCTAAAGAAAACCAACAAAACAAAAGTAATTATACAAACCCCATTTTTGTATCACTTATGCAGTAGATCCCCAGATAGCTAATGTGATATAAGTAAGCAGCACAGTTAAAACAATCAAAGACATAAACAAGCATCCCTTAAATGAAGGCCAAAGGTGTGTAATATACTCTAAAACCACACATAAAAAATCATGCAAAATTCACATAATAACTCAGCACCAGAACTACAAAAGTTTGAAGTAGATGAACTGAGAAGGTAAAGCATGACTATTGTTGTTAAAATCATAAAATAAGCAGCAAATGTTAAAAGGAAAAGCAGACTTGCAACTAGAGAAACTAAAGTTGAATCTTTTTATATAACATAACAATCATAACCATCCTAATTCAAGAAATTTGTACCAGGAGAGTGGAAGATGCGCATAACCAAGAAAATAGAAAAGAAACTAAGAATTAATCACTTCAGAAACTATAATTAGTTCCCTTCAACATGGTAAATTTGACTCTAAGACCAACTCCAGAAACCATAATTCTCCCAATTCTTCACCACAGTTCACATTTCAAACAGAGCCCCTTTTACTCAAACCAAGCAAAAAAAAGGGGGACCAACTCAGCAAATAGAGGAGATAATTAGCTGGAAACAAGAAGACAACAAAGTTTCACAGAGATCCAACTTCCTCTCAGAAAGTTGAGACAATTGCAGAAACCCTAACGGCCAAACAATTACCATTCGAGTATTTCCATAATACATTTAATCAAAATAACCAGAAAAATCTGGAAACACAAAAAATTGAAGAGCAAAAGTTCTAAAAGGGTTATAAACAAGAAAAGAATTCTTCAATATGCCCTAACTAGAAATTACAACTACTTAGCGCAAGTTCAACAAAAACACGGAAAAGTTAAAGAAGTCAAAAGACGCATACATAATATAATCTTAATGGAACAAAACACAAATTAAAGCACAAGAATAAAGTAATTCGAGCAGAACTGAAGTTGCAAAGCCTTGTAAGAGTAGAGAGAAAACGAGAGAAGGACCTTTTTCTTCCAATCCGGAGGTGCTGGGAGTTCTACCGAAACAACCTCTTCTTTTGCTCCGGCCTGTGTCTCTTTCTCAACTGTTGTGCTCGCCATTTCCACCTAACAGCAAGAATTTAACCCCCAGAATACAAAGAAAAAACGAGTGCAAGTGACAACAAAAAGAAAGTAGCTCTCCCTCGCTCTCTCGTGCTCTTATCCTCTGTGAATTTCTTCTTTTTATGCTAATTTTTTCTGTTTTCTGAGAAGAGAAGATATGACAAGTACTTACCCAGAGCGACAGACAGACACGTTACTTCTCTATTTGTTCTTCGTCTTCAGTTCTCCTCTCACGACGCACGAACGTCGTCCAACTCCTACTCCAAGTCCACTTTCTGGCCACTAGACTCTCTCTCTCTCTCTCCGTACTTTCTCTCTCCTGCGTCGCAAGCCGCAACGCAACGGTAATTTGGTTTATGAGGGACACCTGGCCCATTTTGGGAACGGTTTGGATCACGTTACCCAACCGGCTCAATTAACTGAATTAGAATGTCGGTTTCGTGTCCGGATCAGCTCAAACACATATCCCCACTCACTCACCCCAAACGCCAAACCACACCGACGTCATCCCCCCCCCCCTCTCTCTCTCTCTCTCGTCAGTCGTCAGCCACCGCCCCGCCCTAAACGGCCGTCGCCCCGCCACCGGTCTGATCGTCTCTAGGTTTTTTACATGCGTTTCTGGAGACTTCAGAAGAGCTGCAGAAGACCAGCTATAGAAGTTCTGGGTGAAGATCAAAATCATTCTTCAGGGCCATGGAGGGTCAGCTGATGAGCCAAGAGTGGCGTCATGATCATGGAAGTTGCTGTATATCCTTTTTCTTAATGGGGGAGCTTTGGAATCAGTGTCAACCACTCAATTCTGCTCCTTTTTCTTTCTTTCTTTGTTTTTTCTGATTTTTGGTAGGATTTTATCACTTAGGTTCATCAGAAATAAGATCAGTTTTGGGCTTTTCTCCGAAAGCCAAAAAAAAAAAAACAGAACTGGTTCTGTGGAACTGATCCATTCTTTCTTTTTGAGGTAGTCAAGGTTGTTGATTTTATGGATAGTTGGATACCAGAAGGGGAAGGGTGGGGCCAGCTTTAGCCCATGGTGTAGGACCTGCATTGCTTGTAAAAGGGAACTCTTGTTTTTATCACAGCCCCAAACCGTTTTTTTTTTATTGCCTTATTGGGTCAGGCTAGACCATTCAACTCATTCAAAATAAGCTTAAATCAGGAAATATGGGCTGAAGAAACTAGTCTATAGTCTATACCAAAATGAGAACTAGTCCAATAGACCAGTTCCTGAGAGAACCACATGTTTAATGCATTGACTATCACAATATTAGGGTTGATTCAATGTATTTTGGATTTTAGTTCCAATGAATCCATATCGGGAAATCCCAACTTGATGTTTGGAAGTTAGGAACCTTGTCAGGCTAGCCATAAAAAACACTTCATCAATTGTTTTATTCTAGGTGTATGTTACTTCATTAGGTACTTGGCTAGTTGGCTTGGCTGGTAGCTAAATGGAGACGCAATAACTGAAGCTTCCCTTAGTTTCTTTCTTTAGTTGATACTTGAGAGAAGGGGAAACTGAACAAGGATGATTGCAGGAACTTTTCTTGAAACAGATTGTTGGCATTCTCAGATTGATAACATCAGGGTTTAGTCCTTGTGATCTTAAATTCTCAAATTTCTGTCTTTGCTGTTTTGGTAGGAACATGTTTTCTGTTCTGAGTCCTGCTACTGTGTTATGAGTATATAAAAATCTGTTACTGTGGTCTGTGGTCCATGGAATGAGACCACGCTCAGCAGTTTTATAGTTACTCTATGATAATGACATGGTAAGTTTATTTTGTCCTTTTACACTTAATGTTTTTTTGGATCATCATCATCATCTAAGCCTTGTCCCAACTATATGGGGTTGGCTACATGAGTCCTGTTTCGCCATTCTGTTCTCTTTAGTGTCATTGCCCATTGTTGGATTAGATCACTCTTATCATTTCTTACTACTTCAACCCATGTTCTTTTTGGTCTGTCCTTAGCCCTTCAACTTGCAACAAATTGAATTTATTTGGCAATTTTTCATTTTTCTCTTGATATAATCAGCCATTAGCCTAGATCTTTCTCTTCAGTGAAGATCCTCTGCTTCAAAGATGGTCCTTCTAATACAGATTCAATTTATGTCCATATGCCAAAGTTGTCTTCATCATACCCTGCTTTCATTGGCTATGACAGGATGTGACATTTTTGCTCACAAGCAAATAAGAAAGCCATCACCATCTGACTTCCTCCCATTATTGATAAATGTGGCACATGTTGATTGGATATCTAGTAAATGGAGCATTTCTATGTTCTCACCTCCTAAGCTCCAACTAGGTGGTTTATGACTGAGGCAGACGACCCTTTGATTAGGTAGACTTTATGACTGATTCATTGATTAGAACCACTCAACATAGATCATTTCTTAAAATTCCAAAAATCTACAGAAGATTTTTTTCTCATTGAGACAGATGGGAAAATCTTTGATGTTAACTTTCTTCTTTCTCAAAACCACAAAACATCCAAATGTACAATTGATTTATACAAACAAACCATCCTCAGCTTTATCTGATGACGATGATGGTGCCAAGCAAAAGTGGAACTCAATTTGCAACCGTTGATGGAGGGATACACTTGAAACTGTCCCCTTCTTCTCATCCATCTCCAATTCCTTCAAAGGAATAGCAGCAAGGAATCTCTTAATGAACTCCCTACAACACTCCTTACCACTGCAAATGAGCTCATGGGCATCTTCCCCATTGTTGCTGCCATTGCAACTTTTATCAACATCTACCTTTTTGTCTACCATTTCCTTGTGTTTGTCTGTTGCTTCCTTTGACAACTGATACATTGAAGTGGTGTGATCAAACTTCAATATGTAGGCCTGGTTGCATCCCTCAAATAACCGCTCTCCCAAAGTGTCAATGATATAATAAGCATTGGCCTCCACCTTCAAAATGAAGAAATGGTCATTCCAGCTTACTATATAAACATGAGTCTCACCATCTCTAGTGCTACTACTAACCCTGTCCCATATACAATCAAAAGACATAGCTTCCTTCAAGGACTCAAAGTTCTCAGGGCTGAAGAATCCAATGAAGGATTTGTCTTGCATAACTGAAAGAGGCCTAAGTTCTGCTTGTAACACAGTCTCGATATCGAAATGCTTATCAGGGAAGCAAAGCATGTAGTCCTTGTTTTTGCAGAGCTTTCTCCACTCTGAGGAACCTTCTGTTATCAAATTGTCAAATTCGAATCTTGTTGGCAAGATGTCTCTGTTTGATTGAAGCCAATGTGCAATAACTGCAACAAGGGCAGTGCAGGCACTCTCCCCAGCAGCCTTTTCACTTCTTTGGTCAATTGTAGCAAAGTATACATTAGCTTTGAGCTTTACTTGCCCATCTCTGCTGATAAATTCCCTCTCTTCCCATTCTCCAACAGTTAAAACTTCATCGCTAAACTCAGACTCGGCAGATGCATTAACTATTGATTCTTCATTGGTTTCCTGCAAGATAGAAGCCAGCAAATTAGAGTTGGAGACTTAGACTGAACACTACAAGAATGAAAGAAGGTTTTAAAAGTTAGGATTCAAACACAACTAGGTTAACTTTAAAAGTATAGGAACCTGTCCAAATCCAAATTGAAGCATAGACAGGCCCATTGATTCTCGTCCAGCTAATCAAAATACCCATAAAGGATAATAAAGCAAGGCATATTGGTTGGAAGGGCAAAGGCAAAAGGTCTTAGTTTTGTTACTGTCTTGCGGTAAGAGGGGTTGTTTGCCATGTGGAGAGATGATGTGGCAAATTTCAATGATTCCTTTTTCATAAAGCCAATAATTAAGGATTTGCAATAGTTGGTCTTCTCTGATCTTCCTTTAATGGCCCAAAATTCTTCAACAAGCATCTCAGTTTGGTAGTCCAAGAGGGCCCCACAAGTTGGTCTCTATTCAGAGCAAGTTTCAACCCAGAAAAACTTGCCACGTGTCCATAATAAGCTTTTATTTCTGAGCATAAAATGACAAACATTGAATACAAAGTGAGGTGGAAGGCTGATTAGGACTGGAGGATTGAATGCTTGGGTCCCATGTGGTGTTAGAATTTCCAACAACAAATCAAATATATAGGATATAGCTATTCAGTCAAAAATCCTAATTACATCACGCGAGTTTGGTCACCAAGTAACCAGTGTAGGACGCGTTGACTTTTCAGTCTTTACCTAGACTTTCAGAAAAGTCCTCTGAAGTAGTCAACGTTTTCTAAGGTGACTTCCGTCATTTACATTTTCATTTCGTGTTCCGTACTTCCAACGTATCATACACAAGAGGCTATGACGCGTTTCATTAATCATTTATCCAAAGCAAACAAAGGGTATTTTTGTCTTGTAAAATGTTAAACTGTGCATACCTCTCCCACGGTACCCGAGTCATCATCCATCGAAGAACCAACAGACTGACGACGATTACGATCCAACTTATCATCAATCAACGGCTCATCTTTTCTCTTCGGTACAGAGTCCAAGCGAGTCTCTGCACTCGGAGACGATCCCAACCGAGTCACAGAACTTCCTTTCATCAAATTGTCGTCGCTATTGAAAGCCAACGACTCATCTCTTGTTGCAGAAGCCATGGAGGCGGGGTCCAGAGACTCCTGTTGGATCGGAACCGAATCATTCTCCGGCGATCTGTCTGAGTCGATTGCAGCCGTCTCATCGTCCTCTTGACTCTTCTTCTTCTTCTTCTGTGAGACGTAACTCGTTACTCTCCTCAAGAACCCGTCTTCTTTGTCAACCACGCACACGTCATGGACGATTCCCAACGATTCCTGTGAGTGGGAACTCCTGATCTCAATGAAGCTCAATGATATCTGCAAATCCAATTCAAACCCAGATGGGTCCTTGTTATTTTTATAAATGACTGAAATTTCCACGTTGTTGGTCGAATAATATTATATTAAATGCAAAACGTACCGAAAGGGTAGCTTCGCTGGAAACACCGGCGACCTGTAAAGCGATCGGAAACGCTCTTTCCACCTGAGATTCCATGCGAGAAGCCAGTTCGGCGATGTTTAGCAAAAACGTTCCGATCACTTCGAGCTTGTTCCCTCTTTGCCCCTGCACCATGGACGATGAGAACACGTGAAACAGATTCACATTTTCTAAATAGCTGATGGGAATGATTAAGAAAACAGGAACTCACATATAGAAGATTGAAGGAAACGTCCCAAGGATTGAATGATGAATTGTCTTTACAGAACATCGAGAAGCTGCAGACATTTTCAAATTCATCGTCCCATTCGATAACTTCACCTCTCCTTACAGATCTCTCGGTGGAAACATGTCGTCGGCGGTGCTTCGACGACGACAGTCGAGGCAAGGGGACTAATCCTGCCTTGGGCGTTTTCCATCTTATCTTAACGGCCACCACTTTCTCCCCTTTCATCTCCTCCTCATCGTGGGCGTTGAAGCCTTCGAGCTTCATGGACTTTACCTTCACCTGAAACTTCTTCGACGCCGACGACATCCATGGCGCCCACTTCACCATATTTGAACTTTGAGTAGAAGGTAGAAGGAAGGAAGGAAGGAAGCAAGTTGAATTGAAATCAATCCTTCGTGAGGTCTGAAATAAGGTGTTATGTCGTTTCCGCGTTCATAGACCGAAAACCAGTTGGCACGTGGACTACGCGTAACTCCATTGATCAGAGACAAAGACTGAATCATATAACGTATATTACGAAATTTAGACGGGAAGAAGCCGAGTCACAGCCTCAGACTCACAGATTATAAAACCCGAAGAAAGGATCAACTTGCCATCTATTGTTTGATGCTTTTTGAAAACTAGTCAGCGTAAAAGCAAACAGGACCAGGTCGTATTCGTATATTGATCTTTTATTGGGCGAAGGTGATGGACTGATGGCTCACTCCAGACACTAGAGCCAGCGGTGTCGATTGATGTGACATACCTGAATTCGAATTAACTGAACGCTTTCGCGTATCGGTGACCCACCGACGAAATTTTGAACCTTGTGGTGATGGTCTTAATCTCCTCAACTGATCGATTCAGCAATCTTCAGGAACTTACGATCCTCTCTTATTCCTCCTCTTCATTTGCATGGTCATCCTCATTCAGATGAGCATGGACAGTAACACTCATTTGCTTATCAAAGGATTTTTGCAAGTTCCTGTCATTGGGTAGAAGTTGTGTCCACTCCAATCACCGTGTCAAGGAAGAATTTCCTGCTAAAGTGAACCCCATAAAACCCATATTTACGAGCTCTCTGAGTTGAGCAATATTGTTCCCCTCCCTTGGAACATGGGTTACAGTACAATAATCAAAACAACCGATTGTCCATTTAATGTCTTCCATCTTCATCGACCCATCCATTATACTTTACTATACTGGATGAGTCGATGAAGATGAAGGTTACATGAATACCAGAAGTGCAAGACCACCATAATGCCTAAAGAACTACCCACCCTTCAGCCTGTTCTAAGCTATGAACAATGCATTGTTGACCTACTGCTTCCTTTCGCAACGCCTACTGAAAACTCTCTCTGGTTTCTCTTGTCTTCTCTATCTGTTTTCCCTCTTCTTTCTTCTTAATTGCTTATGTGTTTTCCGTGTTTTAATCGTTTCTCTTGTAGTGAAGAAATGGCATCCAGGTGGATGGAAAATCTAATGGTTGTTGGAGAAGCCAAATGGCGTTTCCAACAAATATAGGAAGCGAATTCCGGTAAGACAAGGGTATTCCAACATTTCTAGCAGCTCTTATAAGAGAAATATCAGTCACATAGATCACATGTGAATGGAGTGTGATGGAAAATTAACAAAAAGGGAGGTTTTAGACAATTGTTAGAAAATTTAAAGGTACTTTAAGACAATATGAAAATAATAACAGCAGATTTAGGTCCGTTTGGCGCATCCTTCCTTATAGTCTTTCGGCTGTTTACAAGTCGGGTAGACCACGTCGCGATCTTTTTCCATTTGGCTCGTAACGGATCTAGTCGCCAAAAGTCAATGCGTCGAAAAGACACAAGAAGCCCATTTTGGGTTGATTTTGGGAAGCTCCAAATGGAGCTTTTCATGTCTCTCTCTTTATTCTCATGCGGAAAAAAATGAAAAGACGCATGGTAGCCAAACTAGCTTCGGGCTCCTCAGATCTTTATGAAAAAGCTGAATGTATCTTTTGATTGTTAGAGCTACCAGAAGATCTTCCCAAAAAGTATTGCCAAACAGCCCCTTAGTCAATTTCCTAAATCAAAAGGGGTACTTTAAGTAATTTCCTCTAAAACAAATTTAAGGGAGACTAAACTCTAAAAAGGCCTAAAATATATGGAATCCATACTGAGAGGTTAGGTTAAATGATTGTGGGCTCATGTATTTTATGACTGCCGTGGAGTATTATTATTGGTTCAATTAAAGAGCTTAGTTAATACTATCTAGACATACCTGGCCTCGATTAATATGGTCCAGTTGAACGACATGGTGTTGGGTCCAACTCTGGACAATTGGTCTTCCACATGGGGCCCATGCCCCATGGGCCATGGTTTATAAAATGGTTTTTGGGATGTTAAGGATAGTGATAGCTATTTCTACCTTATATCCCCTCTGATGGGGTGGGTTTTCTTTGCTTGAAGGATGGGTTTTGGGGCGGGGATGGATTTTAGGATTATACAACGCATGGCATAGATAAGGTATGTGGTATTAGCCTAAACCTGACCCTCCTTGACCTATTAGTGTTGGAAATCACATAAACTTTTATGTATTAGATGTTGAGTTTAATAATATTTTGAATTTTATATAGAGGATAATTGATAGTTTATATGCTTTTTCATATGTTTTAATCAAATAATTAGAAAATTTGTTGTTTGTTTATGTTATTTACTTATTTATTACTTATATATAACAAGAAATAATAGAAAATTAGATGCGGCTTTTAAACCCAACCCACTCTACCATTGAATGCAAGGAGTGTTTGGATTCTTTTAAAATCTAAGCCACTATGGGTTGGGAGGTTTAGGGAGGTGAGAAGGGCTTAGAATTTACAAAACTCCCCACGAACCGGCCTTGTTGCCATTTAGTTAGGAATGTTGATTTTGTGGTCGTTTGGAAGGTCTTTCATGCTAGGGCTTCTGGTTTTGTGAGGTGGGTGAGGCCTACATGTAAAGTTTATAAACAATGTTTTTGTAAAAATTCTGCCGAGGCCTCTTTTAGTAGGAGGCTTCTTATTGAAAGCAACTACTTACGAGCCAAGATAAATCTAAGGGCTCATTTTGAAAACAAGATGAAGATTAAGCTAAGGTTGTTTAGTTGCTTTGAAGTGCTCCAAATAAGCTATTTAAAGAGACTAAAGTGGACAACCTTCAAATGAATTGACTGGCAGCCAACATGGAATCTCCCGATTTTTTCTCCAAGCAAAGCTTATAGCATGTTTTCAACTCACAGTTGACTAAAACCCACAATTTGACCTGGATGGTCGAACTATCACATGGTCATGATTCCGGTTCTAGTTTGGCTAAAACCCAAGATTTGGTCAAAGCCTGTTGACTTAGTAAAAAATTGTCCAATTCGAGTGATTGAACCATTGACCCGTTCGACCTAGGGGTGATCATGGGCCGGGCCGGGCCTGGGCCGAGCTTTGCACTTATGATAAGGGCTATAGCTTAGGCTCGGGCCTGGCTCGGCCTGGGGTTCTGGACCTGAAGCATAAGCCCAAGCCCAGGTCTACACGGGCGTGGGTGGGGGGGCCAGGCTTGATTCTGGGCCAATGTCTTTCATATATAAAACATTACATATCTATAATATTTTATATTAAATGACATAACATGCATATAATATATAATATAATGTAAAATAACATGTATACATATGTATACATTATACACAAAATGTGTAAATTTAAATATATGTGGGCCAGCTCGGGCCCGGACCGGGCTTGAAGTATTAAGCTCAAGCCTGGCCCTAAAATTTGTGGGCCTAAGTTGGGCCCAGGACAGGCCGGAACACAAAACCTAAGCCCAAGCACAGAATTTCTGGGCCGGGCTGAAATGATCACCCCTTGTTCGACCCGGTCATCGGGCCATGAGTTGCACACTCAATGTATGTGCAAACTTCCGAAGGTCATAACTTGGAACTTTGATGTCTAACTGGGGTGATCTTTTTTATTTTATTTTATTTTGGGTAACTTTTCATGATCTATGTGTCCCAAGGTGTCCTGCTATTTTTGCCCACTAAACTTTTTTTTTGCTTCAAATTGCACTTAGTTAGCATTTTTTACAAATAAAAAAATTAAAACTGAATTAAAAAGTTTAATTAAATATAAAATAATGCATATGTTACATGTAGAATTTAATTATATATTATTTATTGATAAAATGTGTTTATATCTATATGTGTGTGTATTTGCTAATGCAACATGGTGCTAACCCATTTGATCTGGACAATTGAACTAATGACTCATGACCTAGAGACAAAAATGGTTCAGCCTCTAGGTCGGTTTTTAAAACATTGACTTATAGGCTATTTGTGTGGAGCCCACCAAAAAAAGATAGAAGTTGCAACACTTCAACCCTCCCAAACGAGGATGGAGCTAAGTGCTCCCAAATGGGCCTTTTTAAGGTTAACCCAAAGAAATTGAGATTTGATCTGCTCCTCATAAAGCGCTTCTCACACCCACTTCATAGCACATTGCAGCCACACAACAGAAATGCCACATGTCCACCTCAAAGGGATATCTAGTAAAATTACCTCACCTTGAAGGGTAGACTAGTAATTTCATTAAACGACCTAAATGCGATATCGGAAAAACAATTTTAAGAGACATATCAGGATACACTTTGGATATACATGAATATAGACAAAAAAATTAAAATACACATGAATACAGTAGGAAACTCAAGTAATTCCTAAAAAAATATATCACTAACAATAAGTACAAGTTTCATGTGACTATAAATAAGTTATTTAAATATAAAAAAACAGGACTTTAATGGTTTATACAAGTGTGAGATATTGAGACGCAATTGTTAACCATTAAAAAGTGATGGAAGAACTAAAATATGTATGTATATAACTTAATTTTCAAAAATCAATATCATTTATTTTAATAATTATGAATATATAAATTTTAATAATCAATTTTACCATTTATTAAGAGACTTCAACTAAGAAGAGAAATTTTACTTTAGAATAAAATACATATAATTATAACAATTAAATTTAATAGGGTGTAGTGATGCATTTATGGTCATTACAAATTATGTCTAGGGTTCAAATCTTCTTATAAGAGGATGGCATCACAAAAGTACATAGATTTGTGGTCATTACCAATTGTTTGACGCAAGACTAAACCCGGGTCAAACAAATCCACTTAATGCATACATCTAAGAACATTCTAAATGAAGAATAAATGTGATTTAAATAAGCAAAGAATATTCTAGAACAATAGGGTAAACATGAAAATGGTAATTAACAAGAGAATTCTAGAAAGGATTTAATCACACGTTTTAAGGCCCTGTTTGGTTTGCAGGAATAGGGGTCTGGAATTGGAATCGGAATAGGCTATTCTGATTCTATCTGTTTGGTTAGGTGGAATTGGAATCCCATTCCCATTCTTGCTGTAATGGCATCCCCCCATTTGAGGGAATGGCCA